CATGAAGAACAAAGAATCTTAATATTGCCCAGCTCCTCCGCATTAAAGAGTTTCCGGGCCCCAGAGCAGAGAGGAGCCACCCAGATGGGATCTGCCAGCTCCTTGAATTGATCCGAGAAGTAAGACTTTGCAGGCCAAAGATGGGGTGAATAGAATGCCATACACGAGGCAGGGTACTCACTAGGTCTGCAGGGGGATCCCCTGAAATTTTCAGCTGATTGATTGAGGGCTGCACCTGTGAGGACCTCAGACACCAGAAAACAGCTATAAGGAAGGTCCAGAAAGAAGAGTGTCTGTGCCAAAAGGACTCCTCATCCCACCTATTCGACTAGAAAAAACTCAAATCCACAGTCATTGATGGAGTACCCAACTGGGTCTTGACTCAAAACCCAGGAAGACTCATCCCTGAGCGAAGCTCCACCCTGGTCCTCTGGGTAGTGTTTACAAGCAGGCTCCCAAAGGGCCACACAAATTCAAAGTCATTCAATATGTTGCAAAAAGTCAAATGGGTCTGAATGGCTTTTCTCGTGTGTGTGTGTGTGTGTGTGTGTGTGTGTGTGTGTGTGTGTGTGTGTGTTGCATTGATTTGTATTTTTCCTTTAATATTATAGTTTCGGGGCAGGACTGAAGGCTCAGCAGTTAAGAGCATGCGCTACACTTCTCTAGGACTAGAGTAGTTCCAAGAACCCACCTCAAGCAGCTCACAATTGCCTGAAATTCCAGCTCCAGGGGGGAATCCTACACCTCTAGCCTTTTTGGACACCTGTGGTCATGTGCACAGACCCACACATATATACATAATCTTTAAAAATATAGAATTAGCAAAAGCAAAGTTTGAGGTTTTTTTGATTTGAGACAAGATGTCATGTAGCCCAGGATGGCCTTGAACTTGCTATGTAGCTAAAGCTAGCCTAGTGCTCTTGATTCTCAGACTTATACTCGCAGTGTGCTAGAATTATACAGGCATGTGCCACCATGCCCAGTAAAAAGACCTGCCTGTAGTCTTAAGCACGTAACCTGATGGAATTCTCAAGGGCTGTCTGTGGCTTCATGGTGCAGGACACAGTCTTCTCCATTAGGGGGTTCTCTAAGATTAGGAAACCTGACACTCAACGCTCCTTAAACTGTCAGTCTGAAAGAGGGGAGATATGGTAGCAGGTCTCCTCCACTGTGTCTGACTACTAGCAGCAGGCTACTGAAAAAATGAGTCGGTGTCCTTTTCAAAAAGCAACATCTCGTGCAGTCAGCACTCCCTCTGCTTATCTCAGTGAGTACTCACCAAGTGCATGCTGGACTATTCCTGACTCCGGAGACTTAGAAGGAGGCGGCAGAGCCCTCAACCAGTAAGCTTACATGAGCAAAACAGTGACTGAGAACACATGGCGCATGCATGCACACGAACACACACACACACACACACACACACACACACACACACACACACACTCCACACATGAAAGTCACCTGGTAGAAATAGCTTTTTATCTCAAGCTACTAGAGAAAAAATAATTTGAAAACTAAGTTGAGGGCTGGATAAAGGAGACAACTTGTTAACTACTTTGTTGTATACCTTATAGGATAAAATTGTAGCTGAGTGGTTATAGACTTTTCCAAAGTATTTTTAAAACTGAAGACTATTTTTCAAAACAAAACTTTATTTTTAATATATCAAAACTCAAATTATTTCATATATTTTAAACTTTGGATTAAAGAAGATAATGACCAAAGAGACTATATGGGGAAGAGAGGGAAGGAAAAACAACCCTGTGTGATTCTTAAAGGTCCAGTTTGAATTCTTGGTATTCTTAGGATCAAAAGGCAAGAAGCAATGTGCAAAGCAAGGCCATTCACAGCGATCTCAGAGACTGAAGGCAATTTCTTTTTGCATGAAGCTGTTTTTGTGTTGTTATTTTTTCCTGGTATTTGTAGCAAAATAAAGTACTAATGTTTTTCAGCTGAAATAATGGAAAATTGCTTAAATTATTTTAAATTATTAAAATGTCTTAAATAATGAAGTAGACAGAACTATTTAAAAGAATTATAGAATAAACTTACAAAGGTTGGCAAGACTTTTTATTAAGGTAGCAGTTTTCAGTTGAAAAAGAGCCAAAGAGTCCGAATAACAATTCAAATAAACACAGTAAAGCACTTCAAGTACAGGGGGTTATGGCAGTATGAACTGTAACAGGTTACACCTTCCAGGGGACAGGCACTCCCCTGCCTCATAGAAACTCAGTAACCTCATTTAATCATCACATCTGATTTCTTATATCCCAGGTCACTGCTGAAGAACTTGAGATCCAGATTCTTCACCTACGTGGCTCAAGGTCACAGCATTAATGGAACAGGAGTGCCTGGCACAGGAGACCCGCTGTCCACACTGGAACATGCAGATCACTTCAGAGGTGAGAGGCAAAGGGCATCTGTCCCTAACTGCAAGCTAACTCAGTCAAAATGGAAATGGGTAAAGAGCAGTCTGGGTTCCGGGGGAAACTTGAGCCTAAGGAACCGAGGTTCCTCTTCCCTCTTCCAAGCGCATTAGCAATTTCGAAGCAGTCCCCACAAGCAATGCTATAATCTGAGTCCAGCTTCTCAGACTAAATTACATCCTTTTGCATAATCATGATCACGGCTGCGGTTTGCTAAGCGCTCCATCGGCGAGCACTGTCTCAGATCATCTCCACGTGATGCCCTTCCCTCACCAAGTCTCACAACACCCTGCAGGTCAAGACTGGTGTTGTGACCTCCATTTTACCGAAGAGAAAATGGGGGGGTGGGGTGGGGGGGTGGGCGCGTACGGCTATGTCCATGTCAGTCCTGAATTCTGTACGGTTCCCTTACAGAAATTCTATTGTGACGGGCTGATGGAATGCTGACGCCCTGGAAGACTCTAAATGACATTACAGAATTTGTGGCCAGTGTTCTGACCTCTCTGAGGCACGCAGAAAGGGCGAGGGATACAGCTTAGTCGGTACAAGGCTTCACACACACACACACACACACACACACACACCCCTTTCAGGTAACTGTAGGTTTTTCATATTCACACTCATATATGAATCCATGACCCAGCAATCATCTTAAAACATATTTAGAAGATTCCTGGCAGAGCAGTACTGTAATTTTATTGTAGGTAGGAAATGTACGTTGAAGCTAGAGAGGATTTTTCAGAAAGTTAGCCCTGTCATTGCCCTATGTGACAAACTTTTAAAAAAGGATTTGGGATAACCCGTCACCTAGCAACCGCGACAAACAGCTGGTGCAGCCCTCACACCTATAAATATGTTTTGGCCTAGGGACCTCTCGTTCTCAGCTAGTGACTCAGGGTCGCATGCTCACTGCTAGTGACCATCTGCTGATGCTAATTCCTGTTGAATTTTTCTTAGAAAGGTCAGTCAGTATCTGGTTACAGACCTTAACATCTCTCCGTGTAATGTGTCGGAATGTTTTTTTTTTTTAAATCCTCTGGAGACATTCTATGCCCTCTATGAGTGAACATATGTAGGGGGAGGAACAAACTCAGAACCGGGAATGCCTCTCTCCGCGACACTGACTGAATCAGAGCCATGACACAGCAAATGGGATGTGTCAACCAGAGGATTAGTCAAGCAAGCCGGAGATTAAAAAATTACATGGCACTCAATGTGAAGCTTTCACTTTCTCAGACCAATTAGCCAAGGAGCAGCTTCTCCCCGGGCCAGGGACAAAGAGGCGCCAGCTGAGCGCTTGTTTTTCCTACACAGGGAGGCTGAGTCCCACCTTCGGGGAGCAACTTAGTGTTCTGCCTAGACAGACAGACAGACAGACAGACAGACACACACACACACACACACACACACACACACTCCCCCCCCCCCAAGTTGGAAAGCAGCAGGAATTGGTCGCGCTTTAAGACCCTCCTTCCCGCAGTATCTCAAGCTAAGCAGTGCCCCTTTGGGGTGGGGAGGCACAGATGATCTAATCCGCTATCTAGAAGGGCACTTTCTTCTGCTACATGTGGTACTCTTTTCAAGTGCTGGAGGATCAGAAGCCAGCCGTTTTTAATGTTTCTCCTTTTGTTGGTGTTTAATAACTAGATTCTATAAACTAAGGGCCTGAGCAAGGTAATGTCCCTCACAAGCATAAGGCAAGCACTTACTTGAGACAGTCCTGTAGGAGACTAAGTCACCCTTCTGTCTTGAATCCTAGGCCAAGATTTGATTCAATCACTCCACTGTCCCTCAGCAGGAAAGGATTCCCACCCTATCCTCCAAGGGCAGATCAGAATCAGAGTCAAGAAACAGGCTTCACGGAAAAAAAAAACTTATTGCAGGGTGAGTTTGCTAACTTCCCATTCTACTTGGGATCTGCAATTTCCAACAGACTTACAGCCCAGGATTTATTGCAGTTCGGATAAAAAGTAAATGTCCCCTCCCTGCTTTTCGACCTTTGGTTTAGCTGTATGAAACTGGTGACGATTTTCTTCAACATGTTTCTTAGAGGTGAAAAAGAAAAATAGTTAACAACATTAATTCCTAATTTTGCTCTTTAGCAACTAGCCCCGTTGCACTGGGCCTGAGTAATACGTACTGCCCAGACCTGTAGAATGAATGAGTCATTGCAAAGTGTGTTCAACATCAAGGCCAATGAAAATTAGCTTTGATGTATATGATAGAGAAGGTAACCCGGGGTATGACAAAACCTGGTGACTCTCATGCACAGTACAGATATCAACTACCAACCAACGTGTTGGACCGTTGGGCTGCAGGTCACATTCGAGCCTTGGGCCTTTCTTTAAAGAGTGCATCTACTCTTCTCTCTTCATAGGTAAGCCAGCAGTTGAGTGACTTAACCAGGAGCTGTTAAAAGAATAAAACCCTGTGAAGAGGACCACACCCTACCAGTCATGAAGACAACTGCTTTGCTAAACGCAAGCAGATTTTGAAAATAAGGTATGGTGTAAACAGTGCATGTGTTAACGGGAAAATTAGCATCATGCAGTACCCAAGGGCAGCATGGAAGGAAGATAGGTACAGTATGAATTTGGAGGGGGGGTGCACAGTCAAGAAAAAGGATGATCAGAGGTGACATCCCCAGACACTGTCGAAAGTCTGGACAGAAGCAAATCCCCAATGGGAGGTCCTACAGTGAAACAAAACCATAATGTAGTAGAATGCTTTGACGCAGAGGATGTTTCTATAGGAATATATTCCCTCCACTTCGTTATACACACAAGTAACAACAGGAATTTGCCTATGAATGAAGAAGTTAATCTCTCAGTGTATCTGAGTTATAATACAGAAGTCAGAATGTACATCTATGAAGGGCTGCTTGCAGACAGTAAAGAGTCCATCTACCGCTTCGTTTCCATGCTCACTATTAATCCGCTCCAGAAGCCTCCCTTTTTAAAGTGCGCATGCACAAATGAAAGCGAATACAATATGACAAAAGGAGATTGGGACAGTCTAGGCTGAACCACACCAGTGACAGAGGTGCCTGCCTGCTCATCTCAGCTCCTTCATTCTTACCTGGGGGTGACAGATACTTATCTTTGCCACCAGGTTTCTCAGCTGGCTCAAGTTTCTGCCAGCTGCGTGCAGGGGAGTTTAATGACTGCCACCTGCAGTTTATGTGTGTGTAAAATGTCAAGCAGTATATTGGAGATCAGCTGCTAGCCAAAATCACTTTCAGGAAATCACTTTCGAGATACCAGAGAGCATAAGGAGGTCATATGTACGTGCCCACCAACTACAGCTCCTCAGATTCAGGACACCGACCCCTTCCCTTCTCCGTTAGGGTCACTGTTTGGTGTCTGTGTAGTAGGAAAATGATTTTAGATGCCTTCTGTTTGGTACACGGGCACATACAGATGCACAAATACACAGCTTAATAAGTAGTAGTAATTATTCTTTCTGTTTGTAAATGGTATGTTACTAACATGAACAGCATCGAAAAAAAATAACATAGAAAAAACCGGCTCCCTGATCAACCCCAATCATTTACTTTTCCTGGGTTAGATGCATCCAGAACCACAAAAATGGGGTCACTGTAGAACATCCCTTTATGGAGCCTGCCCAGGCTTCACACAGGCAAGCAGATCAGTTATAGGGTGTTAGACGTTTTTATCCTAACCTCCTTGGGAACCCATACCCCTGGGAGAAAGCCACAAAGGTAATGAGTCTTTGAGAAAGCAGGCACAGCCAAATGAAACTAATGGAGCTCGCTGGGCAAAAGAAAACCACTTCTTTTTGATGAACAATAACTTTTAAATAAACAACATACAAAAGAAACAGGGAGAGATCTTCATCGTGGCTTTGCTAGGTATGCCATGTTCTGAGTTATTTTTTGGTGAGGTGATGGTTAGTTTTAATTACCAACAGGACACCATCTAGAATCCCCCTGGGAGAAGGGCCTCTGAGAATGCCTGTGAGGAATTACATTAACTGATGTGAAAGAATCTGCCTCCTATGGGCGGCACCATTCCCTGGCCTATACAAATGAAACTGTCCAATTCCAACAGCCATAAGACACCACAAACATTAAATATATGTTTGGATTCATATAATTTTTATATCAATTTCCCATAAAATACTTTAAAGATACAAATGGATAACTGGTGGAGAAATGAACCATTTCTGTGAATTCTGTCATTAATCAACTCACTGGTATCCTAAGATATCCTAGTGAAATTAGTGTCCTTTTAAGTAATTCTGATAAAGGTTGTGAGAGGTGGGGACAAAGAGATCTATATAGCATGGCTCCCACTAGGTAGAGTATTCAAGGGTCTCACTATACCACATGAGGAATCTGGGCTTCTTTGCTGTAAATAAGGAGCTGAACATAAACAGACACTGACTGGTTTTTTAATCATAGTCCCCTCTGAAATATCTGTGGGCCCTGGGTTTCATACTTGCAAGAGCATCTGAAGTCTGAAGTAGGAGGAAACAGAACACTTTCAGTCCTCTATTTCTATGAAATGGGTATTTACTTTCTTGTGAAAATGGACTTAGAACTATATATTAACTAGAGAGGGAAGTAATATGCAACGCTAACCACACTGCTTAGCACATCCCTGGTGACACAGATGGGCATGGGCATCTTGGACAGCAGGTGCTATCATAATGTGAGCTTAAAGACCCAGTTATTCCCAGACAACAGACCTCCTAGCAGGCTGGCAAAAGGACAAGACAGTTTTCCTTTCGGATGTGATACAGATATTAAAATGTAAAATGCCATAGTCAGGTTCTATCAATGTCTGTGGTTCTATCACGGAGTTAAAAAAAAAAAAGTTAAAGTTAAAACAGTTAAAAAAAATTAAAGATAAAAAAAAGTAAAAAGTTAAAACAGTAAATTATTTCATCTTTCATTTATGATGGACTGCTCTGATGTCTTGGCTGATTACCAGGCCCTTGGGAACTGTGAGCTGGAACAGTTGTCCTGTGGACTTGCTTCCACAGACTCAACAGGCTGGGTCTGAGAGGACCACCTACATATGCCATCATCCCCAGTGCTCTTTCCTTGTGTGACAAAGTTACAAAAATACAGATCTAAAAACTCTGCATACGATTAGGGCAAAGACCTTGGACTTATTGTAAACATGGCACTGGATCTCTCAGAAATTGGAGTTGTAGAAAATATACCCAAACACTGGTTACAGCTAAATGTCAGGCCTAACTACCTTGAGTGCTTAAATCATTCTCAGATTTTCATTACTGGGTTTTTAAAGACTATCATCTCCTATTACCAACAGTGGTCACTTGCACTGTGTTTTTTCAGTATTACATAACAAACCCTCTTTGTCAATATGATCTAGGTTATAGATCAATTCTAAATCATGATAATCAGAATTTGGATATTCATAGTCTCTTATGGCTGACTTATGATTAATGAACCAAGCAATACAACCCTGAAGGTATCCAATTCAATCCAGGAAGTAGGGAGTTTATGGATAAGTCCTAGAGACTTAGAAAGTCATCAACTGATTTAGAGCTAGGAACAAAGACTGATTTTCTTACATATACTTATATAAGAATTTTTAAATTATATTATTTTTAATTTCTAATTTCACTTACAGATGAGTAAAAACTTAACAACACAATCAATATAGGGATTTTTAAAATATGTATCTCTCTCCCCTTTGTGATTGTTCTGTTACACTTTAAAAAAAAAAAAAAAAACTCTGGCTGTCCTGGAACTTACTCTGTCTCTGCCTCTCAAGTTTTGAGATTAAAGGTGTGTGCCACCACTGCCTGTCTCTGTCTACACTCTATAAATGGTGTTGTTATAAACTCTCTGAGAGTTTCATACAATGTATTTTGATAATATTCATCCCACCTCCTCCCAAGACCTCCACCTTCCTCCCCACCCAACTTCACAGCAACTTACCCTTGCCAACCAAATGCCCTTGCCTCAATTTTCACAGAAATATACAGCTGTACATGGTAAGATGTGTTTGCCTACTCTATCAAATGTCAAAGTAACAGACACTTAAGCAAGAAAGCAGTTCATTTATCTATGTGACAGCTGAACCTAAAGGTCCAGGGCTGATATTCGGATATCCACAGTGTTAGAAACCCAGACCCTTTCTGTATTGTTGCTCAATGATTCTCAAATCACACTTCCTCCAAATGATTCAAGACCGTAACTTCAGCTACTCAGTTCACTCATTCACATCACCACCATAAAGAAGAAATGGTATCAAGAAAATATTCCCCTTTCTCTCCAAAGTCATGAACCTATGCATTGTATACACAGCTTCCACTCACCTCCTACGAGCTGGGACATGGCACTGTAACTGAGAGTCTAGGAAAGAGGTCAGACGTTAGTGGCCATGTTCTAGCTGAAACCAGGATTCCAGTGCCAAAGGAAGAAAGGAAAGCCAGGTATTTGGGGACGGCCAGAAGAATGCACCACAACAACACTATTTGGGTTCTCTTATTTCAGCAGTTTTCACTACATGGCACAACTACCAGCACAAAAACCACAGACACAAAGAGATGTGAGGATAAATACAGCTAATTCAGAAACCTCACAACTCCAGTGGCGGGAGCTGTTGTATACTAGAGTAGTGGTAGGCATACATTTCTGTAAAGGGCAAGAAAGGAATATTTACATCTTCGCTGGACATATTTATATGAAAGAGCAGAGTAGTGGTCCGATAAAACTTGACTTAGAAAACAGGCAACAGGATGGATTACACACACACACACAAACCACAGCAGTCTCCTAGCTCGGAGTGTCTCGGGCTTTCAGAAGCCTGGCTACATGTAGGTGACAGGTACTAATGAACCCAGCAACCAAACCAGGAGCCATTAAGGTACCTGCCACGAGGACAGTCCCCCTATTGATTGAGAGTGTCCCCAGTGATAAAACTACAATATTGCTTCATTTAGTTTACCTCTAGTCCTGACAACATCTGATAGGTTGGGGAAAATGCCTCACTTTCCAGAAGACAGACAGACAGCCAAGAAAAGCAGCACCCGGATCAGAACCCATCCCTTGCCGCTCCCAAGCCTTTTCTCTTCCAGATGAAAGGGTGTTTCACAGAAGTCAGACGGAAAGCCATCCCGGAGCACACAGTCAGCAATATACATGCCCAGGAACTCCTAGTGTACCGGCGGCAAAGCGGCTCTGCCAGGTCTGACATGTAATGTTCGCCACAGCAGAGCTGAAAAGAGCCCTTGTGCCAGAGGTTTACCCCAGCTTTAGCAAGGAGCCGTCTAATGTTCAGCTGCGCCTGGGTAACGGCCGCCAAGGTCTGAGATGTCGGAGCCTTGGTCACTGGCGGAGGGCTGTAAAGGGAAGGCGTTGTCAAAGTCCCTGAACACTTACAGGGCCTCTCAGAGTTAAGAGAAAGCAGGGGAAGGCACTCACTGATTGTCATCCCTCGTGATCTTGCTTTAGGGCAAAGGTACCACTGCTTCCCACACATGGCTGCCTATGTTAATGCATT